TTTTTTTATTCACTCACTGTTGTTTTTTTTTTTTTTACCCCCAAAGTCCCAGGGGATAGTTGTACATAATAGTTGCACATCCTTCTAGTTGCTGTATGTGGGACGTGGCCTCAGCATGGCCGGAGAAGCGGTGCATCGGTATGCGTCCGGGATCCGAACCCGGGCCCCCAGCAGCAGAGCGCGCGCACTTAACCGCCAAGCCACGGGGCCGGCCCCAAACCATTCTCTTATATTGGACTTTCAGATTTCGTTTTCAGGAAGTTTTTATTATTAAAAATGTGCATTGAAAAACTTTTTGGTATTTTGACTTTGATATTCTGAATTTTTACTTAGGATATATTGCTAGATGTAGGATATAAAAAAAATGATCCATAAACACTTTTAAGTGCTTTCAATGAAATTAGTTCAATTCTGGTTTTTAAATTTTCAAACTAAAATTCCGTTTTTTTGTGTTTTGAGTAGGACTAACCAAAATAAAGCATTTACTTAAGGTTAAATATCATTGCTAAGTGTCTTTCAAGTTTTATAATTACAAATAGTTTTAATGTTGCTCGAAAATAATGTTAATTTTGATTGATTGATATAGTTAGAACCTTAGAAACCTAGTGATTGCCTTGAAGAAAAATACCTGGTGAATGATAAAGCTTATTGAAAACCAATATTTTTAGTTTCTAGCCAAGCTCTAATTCTTAGTTTATTTCAGTAGTGTTGTTTAATTTTATATTTTACTTAAAATTTCCTTGTAATGTATACTAAACTATCTTTAGGATGTATAGTTGAAAAAACCTCGGCAGTATTGTACATTTTATTAAATAGTTACTGTTCCTAGTGTGCCACTCTTTCTTTACTCGAGATTAAAAATTAAAACATTTGATTAATATACTGTAAGGTTTTGAGGAGGAAGCCGTTGAAAAGTACTTTTGTGATATCTTCTATTGTTTTTCCCCCCTCTGTGGGAGGATGGAACATAATGACTTGTCATCTATATATTCTGGATAGTTTAAGAAGTATTCTATTCAAAAGTTCAATCATGACTGTTACCAGGGTTTTGAGACATCTAATAGTAATTTTTAGTTCTAAAATTTAATATGAAAATAAATTAGAAAAAAGGAATGGACTGTCTCTAAATATGGTCTAAAGTAGGATTTTTGAACATAAAGATACAGAATAATCAACTAGAGTAGTTTTAAAACATGAAGATCCTTAGCCTCCACTCAGTATTTCTAAAATTTCTTTTTAAAAACGAAATTTTCTTTTTCTTTTTTTTTTTTAAAGATTTTATTTATTTATTTTTTCCCCCCAAATCCCCAGTAGATAGTTGTATGTCATAGCTGCACATTCTTCTAGTTGCTGTATGTGGGACGCGGCCTCAGCGTGGCCGGAGAAGCGGTGTGTCAGTGCGCGCCCGGGATCCGAACCCGGGCCGCCAGCAGCAGAGCGCACGCACTTAACCACTAAGCCACGGGGCCGGCCCCAAATTTTCTTTTTCTTTACAGGTTTATTGCATTTAACACTCCCAATATTTTTGATGGACTAGAACTAAGATGGAGCCCAGGGATGTACATTTCAGCTACTGTACATAATTCTGATATAGTGATCTTTTGATCACATTTTTCCCCTAAAGATAAACTTATACTCCATTCATGTTTCTAGTCTCATTTTATCTATATCTTTCTTTTTAAAAATTGACGTATAGCATCATTCAATAAAGTGTGTTGAATGCACTAGTCTTAAAGGTGGAACTTGATGAATTTTTATGTGTATACACTCATGGAACCACCACACAGATGTAGAATATTTTCAGCACCCTATAAAGTTCTCTGGTCCCTACCAATACTCCTTCTCCAGAGATAACCACTGCTCACTTTTGACACCATTGATTAGTTTTGTCCATTCTTTAAAATGGAATCATACGATAGGCATTCTTTTGTGTTTGGCTTCTTTTCCTCAGCATGGTGATTGTGAGATTTATACACATTTTTGTACATGTCTTTGGTTGGTGTATGTTTCATTGCATATATCTAGTGGTGAGATTGGTGCGTCATAGACTAGACTTTTGTTTAGTTTTACTAGGTAGTGTCAGGCAGTTTTTCCAGAGTCGCTGTACCGCTTTATATTCCCACCAGTAACACATGAAAGGTCCAGTTTCTCCACATTGTCACCAAAACTGGGTGTTGTTAAGCTTTTAAATTTTACCTGATTTCGTGAGTGTGAAGTGGTACTTTCTTGTGGTTTTAATTTGCTTTTATTGATGAGTAATGATGCTGAGTATCTTTTCATATGCTTATTAGCCATCTGGATGTTGTCTTTGAGAAGTGCTTACCTAGTCTTTTGTCCATTTTTTATTGAGTAGTGTCTTTTTCTTATTGAATTGAAGGAGTTCTTATGTAATTTGGATATGAGTTCTTCGTTGCATCGATATATGTATTCCAAGTATCTGACTGGGCTTTTCACTTTAAATGATGTGTTATTGTGAATAAAAGTTCTTAATTTTAATGAAGACTAATTATTAATGTTCTTCTCTTAGTACTTTTTGTGCTCTTCAGAAGAAATCTTCTGGGACTGCATTTTGAGAAATGCTGAGACGAGAACCACTTTCTGGTTGGCAAGACCTATTTGCTAGTTGACAGGGTGAAATAGAAGGTTTCTGAGTAATCCCCCTAAAATCTCTAGTGTTGTCAGCAGTACTAGCTCCTCTAGGAATCCCCCTGTTGGTATCTTCTTTTCATAGTACTAAATTTTGAGCTCTGTGAATTTTATGTCCCTGATGTTCAGTACACAGTTGTCTTTCTACTGCAGTAAAAGCAATGGGCTGCTGTAGCTGAGTTATTTCGGGGGCTAAGAGCAGTGTTTCTCCAGTTTTTCCACAGAAGTATCCTAGCCACAGGGAAGAGTGAGTACGTAACTCCAGGGGTATCTGGAGTCCTGGCAAGGCCTGAAGTAGCCGCTGAAAGCAAGGAATGCTCTTTGAACTCTTCTGTTTTATCTTAAAAATGGCTGCCATATTCTAGGGATATAGTTTATTTTCATTTGAAAGTACCATTTAAATGATTCTAGTTTTTACTCCTAAATTTAGGTCGAAATTGAGGGAGGCTTCAAGAGGCTGTAGCATGTTTATTCAGCAGCCTGAAGTGCCTCCGGCAGCCCTGGGCTTAGTCTCTATATATTGTCTTCACCAATCCGTTTGCTTTACCAGCCCAGAGTGGTTAAGAAACTTTCACAGTAATTACTGGCAGAGGCAAAACAATAACGCTTGTCTCATTGCTCTGCCCCTCATACTGTCCGATTGCATAGTACCAACGTGAGATCATGGGATTATACTTTGAAATGACAGAAAAAAGCTGAATAAATACACACAGCCTAAGAAAATGAAAAAGAGTGTTCTTAGCGGACCAAGAATTTTGAGGTATTTCTGGGAAAAGAAAAGCAGTTAGGTACCCTAATTTTAAAAGTTAAGTTTTGATCTTGGCTGTTGGGGAAGTGCTGAAAATCGTTTAAGGAATGTTAATGCTATTTTTTCTGTTGATTTATGTATTTAATTTTCTGTAAGATGGTGTTCCTCAAAGGAGTTTATGATTTTAAGTATCCAGTAATTTGTTCTAAGTAAGTTTTGTTAACTTAGTTTTAGTTACTTCTGAATCCTTAAATATGCTATGATAGTCATTCTTGCTTTGATTAAATTGGTTCTCTAAAGTTAAAAAATTGAAAATGTATGCTTTTGAGGTAAAATACATATTATTTTTGGTAGTAATTTAATTTTATTATAATTATGAATTAGGTTTTAGAAACAAGTAGTACAAGTTATGTAACTTGCCAGATTGTTTCAAGATTCTAAGTAAGCTATATGCATTCTTCAAAGATTCTTGTGGTTAAAACAGTAAACTTCTATATCTGTATTTTGTTCTGTTTACCTTTAATTGTGTTGTGACATGCTGTTTTTAAGTAGTTTCCAGGAGTTATATGTGTATCATTATCTTGAATGAGCATTTGCTTAATAAAGGAATTAGGGGCACAGGAATTCTTTTCAGGTTACTTATGACCAGAGGCCAGTTAAGACCATACAACAATAAGGTGGCAGTGTTTTTTACTTGGTCATTAAATGTTGATGAGAATTCAGTTACCGTTATAAGCCTTTTGTTTATAATACTTATTTGGTAATCTCTTAATTAAAATACAGAATAATTCTTTCATGTGTAATGATGGGTGGAAATAAAATGCTTAACATCAAAGGCATTTGAAATTATTATTTATTTATTTAATTATTTTTATTTATTTCCCCCCAAAGCCCCAGTAGATAGTTGTATGTCATAGCTGCACATCCTTCTAGTTGCTGTATGTGGGACGCGGCCTCAGCATGGCCGGAGAAGCCGTGCGTCGGTGCGCGTCCGGGATCCGAACCCCGGCCGCCAGCAGCGGAGCGCACGCACTTAACCACTAAGCCACGGGGCCGGTCCAAAGGCATTTGAAATTCAAGTGTCACAACGTTTTTTTTCTTGTGACAAAAACCACAAATTTATCCTTTTAATAATTTTTAAGTGTGTAGTACAGTATTGTTAACTATATGTACATTGTTGTACGACACATCTCTAGAACTTTTTCATCTTGCATGACTCAAACTGTGCCCACTGAACAACAACTCCCTGTCCCTGTCCCCGCCCCCCGCTCCTGGCAACCACATTCTACACTGTTTCTATGAGTTTGATTACTTTAGATACCTCATAGAAGTAGAATCATGCAGTATTTGTCTTTTTTTTGTTGGCTTATTTCATTTAGCATAGTGTCCTCAAGATTCATCCATGTTGTAGCATCTGACAGAATTTCCTTCTTTTTAAAGGCTGAATAATATCCATCGTATGTATATACCACATTTTCTTTATACTTTCATTAGTCAGTAGACATTTATGTTGCTTCCACACCTTGGCTATTGTGAATAATGCCGCAGCAAACGTGGTGTTTCACCATACCTATTTTTAAAGGGTATATTGATTTTTCTCTTGCAGATATATTCGACTTTATGGGAGAAAATTTAGCAAAGAAGATCATGTTCTTTTTATCAAGTTATTGTATGAGCTGGTATCAATTCCAAAACTGGAAATCAGCATGATGCAGGGATTTGCCCGTCTCTTGATCAACTTGTTAAAGTAAGTCAATTTCCTATGATTTCTGCTAAGATTTTTTTGGTTTGTTTCTTCAAGGTTTTAGAGAATAAGGGCTAAGTATTCTTTGGTAAGAAGACCAAGTCCCAAATTGCCAGTTTGGAAAAAGATTGCAGAAAACTTTATCATATGTTTAACTATATGTGTTAATTAACCTTTTAATTAAAACCATCCTCTCCATGAAGCCTTCGAACTATATGTTGTCTGATTATTTCATTTGTACTAATTATCTTCCCTTATATAGGTTGTAAGACCCTTGGAAAGGGATCATTTATTCTTTTGCTTATCCCAAGGCACCCAGCACAATGCTGGAAACATTAAGAATTCCATAGATAGTGTGGCAAAGAATGAAATTGATGTACAATAATGGTAGCACAAATTTAAATGTTCCTGTTCACCTGGTGCTCTTTGAGGTTTAAGCAGCAGCAAGAATCTGGTGCATTGTTCTTCCTAATACTGTGTTCTGCCAGTGGTTGGGTGTGAATGGGAAAAGCAAAACCCAGTATGATGACAGAAACATTTAATAGCTGTCCTGCCTCTGTAGTAGGTACCTGTGTACACATTACATACATACGTATTTCCTTTTTTTTAATTAGGAAAAAAGAACTTCTTTCAAGAGATGATTTGGAGTTACCTTGGAGACCACTTTATGACATGGTGGAAAGAATATTATATTCCAAGACAGAGCACCTGGGATTAAATTGGTTTCCTAAGTAAGTATTTCCATTTAAAGTACTTCTTTGGGAGCACTTTAGGGGCTTAGGAGGTTGATCACTCCTTAGGAGTTTGATCATAATTGAGAAATTTGGTTATTTGAGATAAGCAAGCAAATATACATTTTAATGTGCTTGTTTCTGTGTAACTTGACTGCTAAAACAATTTGTTGCCCTCTTTAAACTATGTCTGAAGCTGCACTTAAGATTTCCCACCAAGGTGTGTCTTTTTTTTTTTTTAATAATTTTATTTGTTTATTTATTTATTCCCCCAAAGCCCCAGTAGATAGTTGTGTGTCATAGCTGCACATCCCTCTAGTTGCTGCATGTGGGACGCGGCCTCAGCATGGCCGGAGGAGCGGCGTGTCAGTGCGCACCCGGGATCCGAACCCTGGGCCGCCAGCAGCGGAGTGCGCGCACTCAACCGCTAAGCCACGGGGCCAGTCCCCACCAAGGTGTCTCTAACAGCTAACATCACCTAAGAAAGCGAGAGATTTTTGCTTGAAATCTAATATTTTGTCATTAAAAGTAATGCACATCTGGCATTCTTCATAATATATCCACATGTGTTTTAATTCTTAAAGTGAATGCTTCCAGAAGAGGAGCTTTGCACTCTTCATAATATATCCACATGTGTTTTAATTCTTAAAGTGAATGCTTCCAGAAGAGGAGCTTTGCACATTCCAGGGAGCAAGCACATACCAGAGGGCACACGCTCCCAGTGAAAGAAGCAATCCGGTTCAGTGATTGACTATTCTTAGAGCACAGACTATTCAAATGCACAGTCCTTGGTTTATATTTCCTAGTAATGTTTAAACATGCAAAGATTATAAATCTCTTGCTGATTATGGCTTCTTGTATGTACATCCTTCTTCTTCCAGATCTCTAATTTTGGTATGTTTTGTATTTTATTCTGAATTTACAGAGTACAATATGATCATCTCTCCTTTTTGGTTAGTAGTGATTTTCAGACTTGACGGCAAAATATCATCTCTACCTGTTAACAAGGGTTTGTCCAGTTGTGATCTAGCTCTTAATTTTCTCAATCTTAGCATGTTTGGCTTAAAATGCTCTTGAGTTATTTGTGATTGAGATTTATTTTCAGGGATTTTTTTCTTCAGTATTTAATAGCTGTTTCCTCTCATTATCTAGAGTTGTTTGTCATATACATATGTACTCATTTCCTGAAGAGCACCATTTTATATGCCTGTATTATTCTCCGTTTTTTTTTTTTTTTTTTCGTGAGGAGGATCAGCCCTGAGCTAACATCCATGCCAATCCTCCTCTTTTTGCTGAGGAAGACTGGCCTTAAGCTAACATCTATTGCCAACCTCCTCGTTTTTTTTCCCCCAAAGCCCCAGTAGTAGATAGTTGTATGTCATAGTTGCACATCCCTCTAGTTGCTGTATGTGGGACGCGGCCTCAGCATGGCCGGACAAGTGGTGCATCGGTGCGCGCCCGGGATCCGAACTCGGGCAGCCAGTAGCAGAGCGTGGGCACTCAACTGCCAAGCCATGGGGCCGGCCCCTCCTTTTTTTCTTTTATAAATAAATTAAGTCTTTCGAGATTTATTTCTGTGGTTTCTCTCTCAATCCTAGACATGTTTATGTTATTTTGTCACTTCTTGTAGCCTCCCCAATTCAGTTCATTTAATCCACAATTAATCCTCAGGCTTCACTTATTCAGCAGTCTTTGTTATGCCTTTACCAGAGAATTCTTTGAAAACAACTATAGATGGCAGACTTGAGAAGATTTTCAGGTCATAGGTAAATAGTGAAATAATGTAAATGGAAAGAGTTAAAAAAAAACACCTTACTATAGGTGATCCTGAACTTAGACCCTAATTGGTTTTTGTACAATAGTCACAATTAGAGTGGTCAGAAATCATTTATTTCCTGAAGATTTCATGTGTTTAAAACAAGGAGACCCATTTCAACCATAAAAATATCAGAATTCATCATGAAACTAAATGGTACAACATACAAATGTGTTCTTACGCATGTTTATTATGAAAACCCCAAATTTAACATAAAAGCTTTGTTGTAACGATTCCTTTTGAGTGTATTTCTGTTGGCAGGAGCATGGCACAGACTGGATTGACTAGGCCTTCTTAGAATATGAGCCTATTGAAGTTTTGACTAGAAGCACCATTTCATAGATTTCAGGGACCTTTAAACTGTGGTCAAAATCAGTTCTCTTGGGCCGGCCCCGGGGCTTAGCAGTTAAGTGCGCGCGCTCTGCTGCTGGTGGCCTAGGTTCGGATCCTGGCAGCGAACCAAAGCATCGCTTGTCTGGCCATGCTGAGGGCCACGTCCCACATACAGCAACTAGAAGGATGTGCAACTATGACATACAACTATCTACTGGGGCTTTGAGGGGGAAAAAAAAAATTAAAAAAAAAATCAGTTATCTCTCTGAAATTTTTCTGGCTGTGTTTTTGGTTGCCTCTGAAAGTCTTAGGTAAATGATAGGGCAGGGAAGGCAATTTCTTTAGTAATTTCCTCTTCTTTAATATGTCCTTTACGTGCTTCTTCATAACCAAGCGTCATACTTCCTGCCCTGACAGGCGTGCCTTTGCACAGGCAGCCGCTTCCTTTAAAGTCTCCTGTGTAGTCATTTAATAAATATCTGTGGCTTTCCTCTTCAGTGATACCAGCTGTTTTCCTGGAAATTTTGTCAGGGCTTATCGTTCTTTCCCTGTGTCTTGATATTATTACCATGTCTCTTCCTGCAGCTTCACCTCATCCTTGCTCATGTGGAAATCTTCCTTAAAAGTTACACCATGGCTGTTCTTGGTCTTTTGAAGAGACATTGTGTCTTTGCTGAAATCTTTGCCATACAATGGTACTTTTACTTTCTTGTTCCTCAGAGCTATTCTCTGTCCACTGAATTGCTAAGAAGGAATCATTTAAAACATTTTTAAATTTACTTTTCTACTTAAGATTCTATTTAGCACACTGGTATGGCAAGTGTTTTAAACTTGTATAGTCAACGGATAAAATTATGACTTTTAATAAACATTTTATTTCAGAAACCCCCTTCAAGAGCCCTTTAATGTGGCATGCTTTTGGAATTGGTATTTTGTTTTGAGTATTTTCATCTTAGATGTATTCTGACACATTTTGAAACAGTTTTGTCAGCTGACTGCATGTGTTCATACTATTTTTAGAGTACTATTTTTATAATCAAAAGTGAAGAGTTGCTTCATTTGTTAACTGTTTGTCTTTCAAGTCTTAAACTCATGTGCCTTATTTGTTTGTCCTTATTGAAACCACTGCTTAGAGTGCCATGCATTTCAGCATGATTTAAAAAGCTGGTTCTGTTGTTTGGAGCAAGGATTATTCAACTTTCTTCTCTTTTCCCTTATCTTCCTCTCTCTCCCTCCCCCTTTCCTCTCCTTCCCTTTCCGGCCCTCCTGCTTTCTTTTTGCCTCAGGAGCAAAAGACCCTTTTCATTCTCATCTGTTTCTACTTTGTACTGGGGAAAGAATTTATAGGGTTTTTTATTGAATAGAAAAATCAAAATTGGAAAGGAGCTTGGTGGTTGTGAGCTTTTGATACTAGCAACATAAGAATTGCTTATAGTTTACTTCATAAAAGAAGCATTTGAACTTCCGGGCATGGTTTTAATCATAAAACAATGTGCCATAAACTTAATTGGAGTAGCATATGCAAGTTAGAAATGTAGGCAGCACACTAATGAAGGGTATTGCTGCTAACAAAATGTGGGGAATTATGCATAGACCAGCTTTTGCAAATGGGCATAGACAATTCATATTTGAATTGCTATGTGTATAAATTTGTTTTAGTCATCACTGTCATTTTAGTTTTTGTGGGTTGTTTGGTATTAAAGGTTTGCATATTTGCATCATGAGTAGCTTGGGGCTAGATAACTCATTTACTTTTTAAAAAATGTTTAAGTATCTAGTTTTCCTTTGTATATAGTGTTCTAAGGGGATCATATAGTGTTAGACTTTTTCGTTTTTCATATTAATCTCCCTCTGGAGAAATTTGTTATTTCCCTATTCTGGTACTTGTTCTTGATGGTATTTGTTTCTCTATTGATCTATCAAAGGACCATTTGAATTGGTGCTCTTATCCTTAAGATAGAGTTGATTCCTTTGTTCCCCCTCCTTCCCCCCTTCAACACCCCCCCAAGAAAATGGCATGTTCTTAACCTCTATGGGGGGTTTCTGGCACATGGGGCCACATTTCTAAGCTTAAGTTACTACCAACAGCTCAGGAATGATCTCTAGCTACAGAATTTAAAATGATAAGGAAACAATGAGAGTAATTTCTCTGAGGACTTGTCGCAATTTAAAATAGTTTACAGTTATTTTGTTAATAGACAATGGTTATTAATATTGTATTTGCAATGATTTTTTAACATGGTATTTGAGGAACATTCTGTTTGCTTTTTTTAGTTTTATCTTTTATTTGGAAATTAGAGAATAAGTGGTTGATTTTTATTAATGACTTGGATAGTGTTTCTTCCGAAGTTGTCTCTGTGCTACAGTGATCTTTAGAAACTACTCTTTCTAAAGCGATTTAGAAAAATACTTAGTTCAAAATGATCAGGCTTGTCATCACTTAAAGCAGTTATGCATGCTTTTTTTACCTGATTGGTTAGGATTATTACAATTTCTCTCTCTCTTTTTTTTATTCTGGTGAGGAAGATTGTCCCTGAGCTAACACCTGTTGCCAAGCTTCCTCTTTTTGCTTGAAAAAGGTTGTCCCTGAGCTAACATCTGTTGCCAGTCTTCCTCTATTTTTTGTATGTGGGACACCGCCACAGCACAGCTTGATGAGCAGTGTGTAGGTCCACACCTGGGATCTGAATCTGGAAACCCCAGGCCACTGAAGTGGAGCACGTGAACTTAACCACTACGCCGGCCCCTGCAATTTCTTAATACTTGCCATAGAGGCATACTTTTTTCTTTAAGTAATTATAGTGAAAAACCAGTGTTAAATGCAATATCAGTGATGAAGATGTTATATTTTATTTATACCTTTCTTATGGTAAAATTACCTTGACCCTAATTTTGTGTGAAGTGACTGTGAAAGATGACTACTTGCCAATTTAACCAAGAAATATTAGATTTTGAAAGATTAGATATAAGATGGATAGTGTTTGACTAACTGGTGGTGGATTTGTTTAGATTTAGAGAAAGCAGGTAAAACTCAATTCTTTTAGATGAAGTGTTAGGCACATTCTTAAGGAAAAAAATGCCATATTATCATTAAATTATAAGTTTAAAGCAGAGGTATATGGAATATGCCAGTGTTACAGTTTCCCAGCTCATTTATGACAAAGCAACTATGATTATTTTGAAATTAAATTTTAGTTGAGGAATTGTCAGGTGAAGCTGAAAGTACTTCTGGCTGTGGGCAGTCCACACTACTCTCATCTTGAATATATCATTTGCTGTACATTTCTCTGGTTTAGAAGTGAATATTGTCCTGATGGGTAGGTAAGGCCAAGGAGTCAGGAAGCATAACCCTCCCGGTTTATGTAAGTCCACTGTCTTAGTAACTGGAGGCTAAGCCTTTGGCTTTCCTCAGGCTTCTCTGCTACATATTTGGCATTTACTTTATTAGTGTCATCATAAAGAATCATCAAGAATGTCATCATAAGGAAATTGTGGCCCAGAGAGGAAAAATCACACAGTCGTTTGTTGAAACTGAGACGAGCTCAAGAACTGGGACAAGAACTTACTTTCTGCCCTGATAAATAGGGTGGCAGTTGGGGAAGGAAATTCCTATTTTGATGTGATTTCCTAAAACATGAACTAATAGCTACTCAGAGGCAGTAGAATAAATGTAAAAGCAAAATGAGCACAAAATTTTAATTCTTGAGATTGAAACTATAATTTATTTGGCTAAATATGAAATGATAATGATAGTTAACATTTATTTTGCTTAATTCAGGGCCAGATAATTGCTTTCTTTACATTATGCCATTTAATTTGTCACAGCCTTATGAGAAGTAGATATTATTGCTCTTATATAGATGAAAAAACTGAGGCTATGATATTGCACTACTAGTAAGTAGCCAAACTGATATTCAAGTTCAGATCTGTCTGACTGCTAAGCCCAAGCTATGAACCATTCCGTGGTAAACTATGGCTTTCTTTTCAACTTAACGTGCCTTTTCTAAAAGGGAATAGAGTACAAGAAAACTCATCCAAAGCTTAGTCCCTCTGTAGATCCCTTTTGATTAAAAAAAAAAAAAGTTTTGAAATTATCACTTTAGTATTATAAATTTCCAGCAATTGGAAACGTGTGTGGTGATTATTCACTCCTTCTAAAAATTAGTGAAATATAGTCTAGTAGCATCTAGCCTTAACCTTTTATTTTATTTTTAAACAGAAACATTGTTCCCTTCATCTTGAGCGATTACAAGAATCACAAAAGGTCACTATACAGATATCACAGGTTAGAGAGATTGTACCCTTTTCTGGATAAAGAACATAAATACAATGGCACAGGCCTTATATATAAGGAGGGGTTGAAATGGACTATTTAGAGGAATTAAATCACATTCCTTCATATCCTCTTCCTCTAATGAGCAAAGCAACAGCTATCAAGTATTATAATTAACCTCCTATTCTTCTTTTTTTTTTTTTTTAATTTTATTTATTTTTTCCGCCAAAGCCCCAGCAGATAGTTGTATGTCATAGCTGCACATCCTTCTAGTTACTGTATGTGGGACACGGCCTCAGCATAGCCAGAGAAGCGGTGCGTCAGTGAGTGCCTGGGATCCGAACCCGGGCCACCAGCAGCAGAGCACACGCACTTAACCGCTAAGCCACGGGGCCGGCCCACCTCCTATTCTTCTGAAGAGTGAAGGGAACTGGAGAAAACATGCAGCATTTTATGACTTGCTTTCCAGAATCATTTTGACATTATATGAAAGTTTGTTGGTAGAATGTAGAAGTTACTCAGTGAAGATAGCAGATTTTCTGTGTTGTACTCCCACAGAAACAGTAAAGTAAATGTGAAGTTAACATGAACACAGACTTTGGGAACTGGTAGAGTTATAGGTCTTCTGCTTATTTCCTTGGACAGAAAGTTTACCATTTTAGAATGATCTTTTTAAAATTTGCATTTAAGTTTATCTGTTATTTAGTTTGGAACTGATGGTTCTTTAAATCTTGCCTATTAATTCTATAATTTGTTTCTAAATGGAGTTGTTTAGTGCAAACTGAAAGAAGATCCAAAGATCTGTGCTCTTTGTTGCCCTGATGGAAGATGTTTCTTGAGCATTGTAAATAGATAAATATAAACATGTGTAAATATATATGAACACATAGCCTTGTTATAAGCACTTTGGAAACGCCCAGAAGTAAAAATCATAGTTGTGGTCTTCAGGGAGTTTTAAACATAGTTAGAGAGAAGTTTGCCTGTTTTTTTTTTTTTTACCAGGCAAACTTATATGTTTTCTAAACTAAATTCTGTGTTTCTGAATTGCTTAGCTTTTTTGTGAGAGAGGTGAAACCTCTCTCTGATAATCAGAGAAAACACTTCATGATGGCTCTCTGGCCATGTGGTCATCTTTTTTATTTTAGAATTACCTCGTGAGTTGTAGCCTGGTTTCCTCTTCAGTTAACTTTTTTCTAAGTAGTTTCAAAATTAAAGGGGATTCCTACAACTTCAAGAAATGAAATTATAGTGTTCTCTCTTGGTTATATAATATATTGACTACTTGTGCTGAGTTTGGTTTGTGTTATTCCTTGGAATTTCTTTGCAGATTAGTTCTTAAGCTTTCAGAGAAGTTGGATAGACTTCTGAACTTAAGAATTTCAAGAAACTTAATGAGAAAGTGTCAGGTGGAAGCACTGCCTGGAAGCTACCCCTTTCCCCCATAAGTTTTCTTGAGATCTGGGGACTTGTTTTATTTTTGCTTGTACACATCATACTGTAAGCTGTCACAGATTTATTTTAAAATTCCAGTTCAAAATTACCCAATGCCCCTTTGTTTTGTTTATTTGCATTTGAACTCTTTTGATGATGGTCTAGTTAATATTTTAAGTATTCCATTCTGGTCCTGTGTGTTTAAACCAGTGTACGTTGGCCTTTTCATTAAAGCAGAAATGTTTATTATAAATTCATATACAAATATTTATGTTGTTTTCGTATACTCACTTGAGCCACCTACAAGTTGGAAAATAAGTAATAGCTTTTAATGTTATTCAACTAACTTTTTAAGTAACTAGTCGAAAAGGTGGCTGTTGCTCCTTTTGATGATTGTGCTGGCAATAAGGTGCCTTGGAGGGTTGTAGAACTCTCATCAGTTGGTTACAGAAAACTGATTTCTGGCAGTTGCTGATAGAAGCACACCAGATTTACGTATGTCTGCTGTTTGTGTTTTGATGTAAAAGCATCTTAATAAAAATTAAAAGTTAGTATTTGAAGCTTTATGCCACTGAGCATACTTTTGATGTGTTGATAAGTGTGGTCATTGCTGCCTACTTTGTAAAGATTGAAAATGATTTGTCCTTTTCCCAATTTTCTTCTGTAAAGGAACTTCCCTGAAGTTCACAGCAGAGAAAGAGCAAAATGAGGGCAAAGGAAAGAGTAGGTTACGTAGTTTAGGTAATTAATCCTTGCAATTCTGTCTGTATGAAAGAAAAGGATTTGTTATTGCATGTACACATATAATATCTAAATGAGTGTATCTTGGAGATATTTATTAATTGAATTAGATGTGTTCTTAAAATACACCAACCTAATTTATCAAATGGCTTTTTCCCCCCCAGTTCTGTAGAAAATGTCCTCAAAACACTCGTGAAAAGCTGCCGACCGTAAGTAGCTTCTTAATTTATAAAGCATCTTGTTGTTTCTATGAGTTTTTCCCCATTTTTAGTATGCTTTGAAGAGGAAATTAAAGGTATAAATAGTTTCTGATGTTGTGTAGTTAGTCATGGGGCACAAAATATCATTTCCAATTCTTTTTTTTTTTTTTTTTTGTGAGGAAGATCAGCCCTGAGCTAATCTCATGCTAATCCTCCTCTTTTTGCTGAGGAAGACCGGCTCTGAGCTAACATCTATTGCCAATCCTCCTCCTTTTTTTTCCCCCCCAAAGCCCCAGCAGATAGTTGTATGTCATAGTTGCCCATCCTTCTAGTTGCTGTATGTGGGACATGGCCTCAGCATGGCTGGAGAAGCAGTGCGTCGGTGTGCGCCCGGGATCTGAACCCCGGGCCGCCAGTAGCGGAGCGCGAGCACTTAACCGCTAAGCCATGGGGCCGGCCCTCATTGCCAATTCTTGAACTGATCTTTTCAGATTTTCTTTATAAATTTAGAAATTTTTAAGTGGTGTGCCAGTTGCCCATTATAAAGTAAGAATGCCATAATTTATGTATAATTGTCTTTATTTGAAAGATTTCCTAGAGTATTGTTACTCAGATCAAAAATATTTTCCAAAATGAGCATTGTAGGTATTGCATTAAAATATAATTAATAACAAGAAGGTGGTCCATACTTTTTTTCTAGTATGTTCTCTTTCGGTAGAATATTTGACTTTAAATATCCCATATTCTTTTTTTTTTTTTTTAAGATTTTATTTATTCATTTTTTTCCCCCCAAAGCCCCAGTAGATAGTTGTATGTCATAGGTTCACATCCTTCTAGTTGCTGTACGTGGGACTCGGCCTCGGGTTGGACGGAGAAGTGGTGCCTTGGGGCGTGCCCGGGATCCGAACCCGGGCCGCCAGCATCAGAGCGCCCGCACCCAACCGCTAAGCCACGGAGCCGGCCCTAAATATCCCATATTCTGATGTTTAAAGATGAATATGAATAGAATTTAGTTTTAATTAATTGAAGTCCAGTTCTATGGGCTTGAACTATTTTCTCATTCTTGTTAATCAAGCTGTTCTAAGACAACTTATCCTGCTGTGGATAAAGTGAATTCTTTTGAGTGGAAAAGAATGCAGTGAAGTCTTTTGAATGGAAATCCCTATATTTATCATATGCTTGTAATATGAGTTAAAGTTATTTTATGAATCAGATATTTGTGCTGACCTACTATACTGCTCAGTCTTGGGCAAATAGATTTTCAGGATATAAAATGTTTCCCAGGATATAAAATGTTTCCCTTTTAAGAGGCTTAAGATCTCATCTGAGTCATATACCACCAATGAGCTGTGTCATTTTGTGCTGGACAGTTATCCTCTTAGCCTGTGTTTCCTCACTGGAAACTTGATCATCACTGAAGTACTTGCTGGTTTTTAGGGTCTTAGGTAATTCATAGCTCACCCAAGCTTTTATTTTGGATTACTAGGGTAACAGTTGACTCTGAAAAATTAGGAGGGGGAATTGATGTATAAGATCTTTGAAGGTGAAATACAGTCTGCTTTTTTTTTTTTTTTAAATTCTAACCTGTTGCACAATGACCTGGCACATAAATGGTTGATAAACTCAACAGAAGTATTACTAGAAATGTAATTTTATTTTTCACATAAGGGAATGAAGTGATTCTAATTAACACAGATGTATAAAGATCTAATAGGATTAATAATATGATGTGTAGGCCAGACCTAAAAGTGTATCTGGAGGAGTTTCCTGACTTTTTGGGCCATACCCAAATCAGAATTTCTCATGCTTTTTATTATTTTAAACCCCTTACTGAGAATTTGGTAATTATACATGGGTCCACTTTATCCATTTACCTTCGTTTTGTGTGTATATGCACACTTCAGATTTTAATTTTGTAAATCTTTTCTACCCCAGGGATGCTCCTGCCCATTTCATAGAATTGTAGAATGTTAGAGCCTGTAGGACCAGATCATCTAGTCCAGTCCTCTCTTATATACAGGAGGACTCTGTGGTCCAGTAAGGGTAAATGGTTTGTCCAAAGGTGCCTAGAGATTCCTGGGCTGATGTTCTCTTTCTCACTTCATTGATTATCCATTTCTTATATAGACTGGATTCTCTATGACAAGATTTTTTTCTGTTGCTATTACATAGCACACAGGAAGAAAAAATATAACGACCATGTTTAAGTTTACAGGTGATTTGAGTGACTTTGTGTTTTATCTGAGTTTTATCAACTTTATAGCATTTTTCTAAGTCCCATAGACAAGAAGAAAATTTACCTTATGCTAAGTGTGATGGGTATTTATTTTAGAGTTGTAAAAATGTGTGTTTCTTATAGGCTAATTTGACGTTTGTAGTGTGTCATGTATCTTATGAAATCCATTTCCCTCCTCCCCTTTTTTGTCAGTCATATATTGATGTTGTAGAGCTTTTAGACAATGATTCAGATACATGAAAACCTTCTTCTTTATTAGATATTTTCCAGCAGATGCCACAGCTGAGATGCTAGAAGAATGGCGGCCTTTAATGTGCCCTTTTGATGTAACAATGCAAAAGGCCATCACTTATTTTGAAATATTTCTTCCTACCTCCCTTCCTCCAGAACTTCATCATAAAGGTTTTAAGTAAGTATATACATATCTTGACAAATTCTAGAGTACAGAAGGAAATACAGATATATAAGCAAACTAGTAAAGCAATAATAAGTAAAAAAAAAATTTTTACTAACTCAGCCATTATGTTTATTATACTTGAAGTGTGTGAAGGCTAAAACAGTTAAACATGGGATTATAAATAAAGGATTAATGCTTGTATATTACATCAAGTAAGATGAGGGTTTTAATTTAAGAAATTGAGAGGGAAAAGAATAATAAATGCAAAAAGAAGTAGAAAATATCAATAAATAGGCAGTGATAGAAATGTTAAATTGCATAGAGTTTAGGGAAAGGAAAAGTGTTTTCCTAAAACTTGGATTTAACCCTCATCACATGTAGGTTTTTTTGGATTTTTTTAATAATATTTTTTTCTTTTACTTGTTTTAGTTTTTGCACCACTTTTAAGAACTATTTTTTTTCTATATGACTGTAGGTATGTAATAAACCCTAGAATGAAAAATGTTTAGACTGTACTTTTATGAAAAAAGAAAACAGTATAAAAAAAGACTGAAAGGATAATAGTAATCATCACTGTTGTGGGTTCGTGCTTAGTTTTCCCCCCGTGTTTTCTACAGTGAGATGTCGAATCTCTGATTTCCGTCAAATCAGAAATTTTATATATAGCCATATATTTATGAAATTTTAGTTTTAATTAAAAAATTAAACTAATTTTAATTTAGTTTAATCATTTAAAACTTAATAAACTAATTGCACCTAACACTTTGTGGCTCATTTCTTTTGTGGAACATTTACTATAGTGCTAGTAATGGTATAATTACTAATTGGCTTATTAAAGAAAAGAAAGTAAGGAAGAGTTGCAAGAACAGGTAGTAACAGGAAAATATTAAAGGAGAAAGGCAGGGAGAGGCAGGAAAAACTTGTACGGTTGTTAGATAGGGGTGGACAATAATTATTTACTAGTGAGCTAGAAATTTGGTGACATTACTCTTTTTAGCATAAATAAATTGGAAGGGGAATGTTCAGACAAAATTAGTTCTTTGTTCCATTGAGTTTTTAACTTTCAGTATTATTTTTTCTAGATTATGTAATTATCAGTAAGAGTAATAGATTAAAAAAATACAAAGGATCCCTGGCCTTGAACTACTTTCTGTAAATCACTTGCTATTTATAACAGCATTTTTCTTCTTCAGACTTTGGTTTGATGAATTAATTGGCCTTTGGGTTTCAGTGCAGAATCTCCCACAGTGGGAGGGGGTGAGTATCTCATTTTTTTCCTGTACTTTTTAGTTTGGAAATAAATAGATCATTTGATAAGTAGCTTCAGTTCCTTAGAATTGGCTATTAGCCATGTTATAATCAGTTTTTAAGATTACTGTTAGCTGTATTCTAACAGAAGTAGACATTTCATTATTTTGGTTTGATTAATATCTGGAAGTACACACATGTATTGTGAAATGCATGAAGTGTTAAGACCTTGTTTGTCTCCTTTTGTACCCTCACTAGCATGGTGCTGGCTGGGCGCATAATGGATGTTTTCTGTATGCTTATTGGACTAAAATTTGTTTTTCTGTTTGCATTGTGAATGATGCTTTTTCATTTTCCTTTTTATAAGCATTTCAGCTGCAGTTGGTTTTATTTTATTTTATTTTATTTTTGTGAGGAAGATCAGCCCTGAGCTAACATCCGATGCCAATCCTTCTCCTTTTTTTTTCTGCTGAGGAAGATTGGCCCTGGGCTAACATCCATGCCCATCTTCCTCTACTTTATACGGGATGCCACCACACCGTGGCCTGACAAGCCATGCGTCAGTGCTCGCCCGGGATCCGAACCAGCAAACCCCGGGCCACCGAAGTTGAGCACACGCACTTAACCACTGCACCACCGGGAGGCCCTGCAGTTGATTTTAAATGGATGTCAAGAATCAGAACTTAAATTTGGAGATTTTTAAAGGCTGAGTCATAAACCATATATTAAGTTGTGCTAATAATGATTGCTGAATAGAACAAATGGATAAGGGGTGTTACTGTGACACTTAAAAAAAACAATAAGTGCACTTACTGAACTTTCTTTTTTTGTTTACTTTCAGCAATTAGTAAATCTCTTTGCTCGATTGGCTACGGATAATATAGGGTACATAGATTGGGATCCATATGTACCAAAGGTAATTGAGAACGTTTGAACATAAAACATACAACAGCACTGACATCAACTTTATGTCTTTAAGGAGAAATGTGTTTTGTATGCTAATACCTAGTACCACATAAAATATATTTTGACCATTAGTAAAAACATGTATAATTTACAGGGACAGATCACTTATTTTTAAAAAGTAATTGGATCATATCAAAGTATCATAAGTGTGTGATTTTTGTCTTACCTATACACAACATGAACTGTAAGTTTCAGAGTGAGTAATTTAGAAAGTACTAAGTATAGTATTCAGGGTATCATACATTCATATCTTCCACCAAATTTTGTATATTGTATTTGATTGCTGTTCTAGAGTGTTCCCCACTTTTTAGATCACATTATGTATTTTCCTAGACTGTCTCTAGGTGCAGTGTTCTTAGCATTGCATCTTCAGTGTTGTTTTACCTGCAGTGGAGTCACCCGTGGAGCTTAAGGAGGGCTGGCGTGGGGCGTGCAGGTGATTCTGACGCACAGACTGACAGTAGAGCAGGGCTGGGGAGCAGCATGAGACAAATGGCTCTGTTTGCCTGTGCTGTCTTCCTCTGTTTGCTGGCCAATAGAAACTAAGGAAGATAAGTAGTTCTTTTCCATCTTTGGGACCCCTATGTGTTAGTAATAACAGATTTAAAATATAAATTTAAAATTTAATTGTATTAAAATGCAGTTACTAAAAGGCAGATTAAAATGCAAATTCTTAGTGGGAAAAAAATCAAATCGTTGTTAAAAATTTGAGAGGGAAAGTAATCCTCTAGAAGATACTTCAATTTTGTGCATCCTTGGCATGGAATGAAAGCATAGGAAAAATAATTTTATGTGCATTTAAGAGACAGAAAGGAGTCAAGATATTTCATGTGTAACTGCAGTTATCTACGTTTTGACCTTTTTATGTCTGACTATCTCATTTGTGTGTTTTTGGTCACACGATACAGCTACTTTATACCCATATGCTTGTGACCTCAAAGTGTCATAAAAAATATGTATAGATATTTTTATATAACTTTTAAAGAATAAAAGATTGCTAAACAGTATGTAATTTTGCTTAAAAACTGATGAGAGTATATCCAATAATACTAATATAAAACCCTAAAGTTATTTAAGGAAAGAATTATTTGATACCTGTAAATATTTATTTTTAATTCTTTTTTTCTTAAAGATATTTACAAGAATTCTGAGAAGCTTGAACCTCCCGGTGGGAAGCAGTCAAGTGTTAGTCCCAAGATTTTTAACAAATGCTTATGATATAGGACATGCTGTGATATGGATCACCGCCATGATGGTTTGTCATACATTATATTTGTTCTATATAGTTCATCTAAATTTTGTGTTAACCATACAAAAATTCTGTACAATCACATAAGCCTATATTAGTGGCTTAGTTGGTCACTTGATTCCTGGATGTTTTCTGATGTGGTAACCTTATGTTTATCAGACCCAGAATAAGTCATATGTACAATGTATAAATTTCCTTAACCAAAGGACCATAAAAATTGAGTCAAAATTTTGAGAGATTCAGAATATCTGGAACAGTGTTACAGACCAGGAACCAGGCTCATAGGTAAAAGGACTTCCCCAAGGTCAAATTCATAATGATAAAGGTGAGATGAGAACTCGGGGTTCTGCATATACTCAATATTAATGCATTGTGTCAGCGTTCACCTAAAACATTACACTGAACACAAAGCTTATTAACAAAGTAATCTTAGTGAAGGGGAGGTATGAAGGATTGTTTTACTGACATCATTGAAGGAAAGTAAAATATATTCACACACTTGGGTTTCAATGTAATCTTTAAAATAAGAATATTAGAACAACTTCATGCTATAATTTTCTCGATTGTCATTCATATTGCTTCTACAGCTGTCTCCTTGAGTTATTATTCTGTGTTTGATATTTTCTCCTAGGTTATGTTGTTTGGTTGGTTTTTTTGTGTTGGTTTTTTCTGTGGAAAAGGCAGAACGGTTGTGAGAAGTTTGTCTTAAATTTCGTTGTAAGATTAAAAGAAAAAAATTCAAGCTCCTCCTATTTTTGCTATTTCATTATTAAACAGAGAGGAAAAACCCATTTTTCTTGCTACTATTCAATAAGAGCAAATACATTTGGATGTTTGTTGTCTTACATAAGCAATGAGTTGGAACTTGTTTTTTTAGGAGCCACAGAATTAAATAGTGATTAGTATCAGCCTTATTTTAATTAATGGTGCTACACAGTGTTCTCATTGGTAGCTTCGCTTTGTGTTAAGTATGAATATTGAATATAATAAATAAACAATCCTAATTATAATTTTAGAATTTTGAAAATTTTGTTGGTATTTTGCTATGAAATTATTATGGTCTCTTAGTGATCTTTGTGCTATGGTCTTAAGACCATAATTCTTATGGTCTCTATTCTGTATTGGGAAATGTGATCTTAGATTTCTTTTCAGCAGGAAGACTTGTTTCTAATGTAATGTGACATTCTACCTTAAGTCTGTGCTGTTTCTTGAAAGAAGATCATCTGGAGACAGATAGGTTTCAAGGCCAAGTTGTAGTCCTTTATCCCCAGGGCTGTTCAACTTGAGAAGATGAATGCTAGCTTTTCCTCATTTTTGCCCCAGGTTATGTTGTTTCGTTGGTGTTTTGTGTGTTTGTTTTGGTAAAAGATTAAGAAAAATATTTTTCCTTTGAGTCAATATGTGGTCAAATATAACAGGTTTAATCATTTAAAACATTTAGAAATAATAATAAAATAGTTGAATGCATTTATGTAAATCTCACTTCTCCATTTCCTGCAATGAGAAATTCATTTCTTGAATCATTTAAAGAATGCTTTTTATGCCTGGTGTTACCACTCTTGGTTATTTTAAGATGATAATCTTAGTGACGAAAGTTATTTGACTGCACAACAGTGAAAGATACTGTTATCCTAAATTATAAAGATACCTTTCGAATTTTCTAATTTGGTTTCAGTAAGTTGCCCCTTATATTTGGTAGAATATTTTGAATTGATTTGTGTGAAGTTCATTGGGAAATTTTTTATGACTCTTATTTAGATGGAGAATTGATTTTTGTCAGCGGGATGAATATGAACCACATTAGAGATTTATATGTAGGCTTGGACCTGTTAACCCCTTCAATTTTATAGTATAATGTAGGTACTGATATTTTTACTCTTTTATCTGAACAGGGTGGACCAAGTAAGCTAGTGCAAAAACACTTGGCTGGTTTGTTTAACAGCATCACATCTTTTTACCATCCTTCAAATAATGGGCGCTGGCTGGTGAGTATGTCCATTTTTCACTCTAGGGTTTGGAGTTTTTCAAGATATGGTCACTCGTGACTTTCTTATTGTGTAACTTATAATAGATTTTCTGTCCTTCATATATGCTTTGACTATATAAAAGTGATTAAGTTCAAATTAATTTACTGTGTTCATGGAACATACAGAAATAAGATAATATTGGTGTGGTAACTGGTGACAAAATGCCACATTTTGGCAACAAAGATGCCACAAAATCATGGAATCATCTTTTCAGTTTTATTGTCAGGTTTTTTTTGTTTAAGTTGCCTGGTTAAAATGGCTATTCATGTAATGGAAGATTCTTGTGGTGCTAGAAATTAAAATTGACTTTTGAAACACATTTTTATTAATTATTATCAATAATTAATTGGTAAGAGTATTTTATTCTATCCAGTTATGCTGTGCAGGTCTTTGTAATAAATTATAAGAGCTGTTATTTAAAAAATTCTGGGTGGGTAGAGAGGAACCATGAATATCTATGTGGGAAATAGAATCTACCTAGGACTTTTTGCTTCTGTGTCCCCAGAACAAGTTAATGAAACTACTTCAGCGGTTGCCAAACAGTGTTGTTAGAAGATTGCATCGTGAAAGATACAAGAAGCCTTCTTGGTTAACCCCGGTGCCTGATAGCCATAAGCTTACTGATCAAGATGTTACAGACTTTGTACAATGCATTATTCAACCTGTCCTCTTGGCTATGTTTAGCAAAACTGGTAGTTTAGAAGCAGCCCAAGCTCTGCAGAATCTTGCACTCATGAGACCTGAGTTAGTAATACCCCCTGTACTTGAAAGGTAAGGGTAGCTTTACATGTTTTGTTGAAGCCTCTGCCACGGCTAGGCTGTTCTAGTTATCTCTTACCTCTACTCTTCTATTCTGCTTGGGTATCTTTTCTTTTCTGTGACTGGTCTTTTTCTATCTTGGTGCTTATTCCTGTTTCTAGAGGAGAAGCAAGACATTTTAACCTAATGATTGGTAACTTGATAAAGTTTTATTGGAGAGAAAAGAAAATTGAAATGAATAAGTATTTTGGATTATTTGCACATTTTAGTTTCTTAAATTTTTTGCTCATAAATTGAGCTCTGGCTGTTTTTTCATCAAAATGGGAGTGTCACTAAATATTGAGAACATGGTAGTGAAAGTGATTTTGGATTTCTGTTATTCCTTAGAATCAGTGATACAGAAGAAAATTTGATTATATTTATTATTTTCATGTATTTTATAATGTTGGGTGTATTGTTATCACCGTGTTGATTTTATTGAATTCACTTTGTTTTGTATGTTGAAAGAGTAACAAAAATAGTTCTCCATTTGCCAAGTCACTGTCATAGTGACTGGTGTGCTTTCCAAGGGAGAGCTACTCTCAGTTGTTGTGAGTGTTCATGAGCAGATTCATTTAACTTTCTGTTATTCATTTGTTGCTGAACTTTAGCTTTATAATCTCTCTGAATGTCTTTGTCAAAAGTAGAAGAAGAAGATCAGTTTTTACAGCCCAGAAGAATAACAGTTTGAGTTCCATGCAACTCAGATTTGTCCAAGGTCCTTAGTGGTAGAGTGCAGACAACAGCCTGTTTTCTGACTCACTGTTCGTCACATTTACTTGGAGGAGGATATCCTGTTTAAGATCTTGACCAAAACAAGACTCTATTATCTGTTAAATTGAGTTCCTTATGCTCTCTTGCCCTGTCCTTTTTGCCATAAATATTCAAGTTAAGTTGTACCTCACTTTCCCAACTTCTCCTATCTTGTTGTGCAAGCTTGGGGCACTGAAACTCTTCCAGCACATAGAACTTAATTAGGAAATGGAGTGGGGAAGTTAGACACTTTCCTCTCGGTACTCAACCCCCAGTGTTCTTTGCTACTTGACTCCATGTGGTAGCAGAAGGTAACAGTCAGTGGCAGGTCTCTTGATGCTCCTTGGAAAGGAGACACTTGCCTCTATGGGGTTTCAGCTGCTTGCATAGTAAAATTTTGGTTTGGGGCGTTTTGGTGTTTCTTTAACTTCCTCTTTGTTTTGCCTTATTTCAGTGTTTTCCAGCTTATTAATTATGAATGGTGAGATAAGTTTTTAGTAGAAGGAGCAAAGCTTATAAATACAAATACAGTTATCCATCCTGTTTTTCTTCTCAATTTTTAGACAAATTCACTATCAGCATATTGAGTGATGTATGCTTGGCTAAGATAAACATTTTTTTTTTTTAATAATTTTATTTATTTATTTTTTCCCCCAAAGCCCCAGCAGATAGTTGTAGGTCATAGCTGCACATCCTTCTAGTTCCTGTATGTGGGACGCGGCCTCAGCACGGCCGGAGAAGCCGTACGTCGGTGCGCGCCAGGGAACGAACCCGGGCCGCCAGCAGCGGAGCGCGCGCACTTAACCGCTAAGCCACGGGGCCGGGCCCTAAGATAAACATTTAATTGACAATACAATGACATTTTTTGAGACTCTTTCAATTGTAATTTTGTCCTTTTTAGAAGTGGCATGGTTACCTTTTTTTAAAGATTTTTTTTTCTTTTCTAAAAGCAAAGGTCTTTAAAAACGTAAAAGGGTAGAAAAAATTTTAGGCACTTAGTTTTGTCTCCTAAAGACAGCCTTTGTTGAAGAGCTTGGTATGTTTTGGAAAAAACATAGGTTTAGTTACTTTTTTATCCAGTTATAAATCCTCCTTTTTTCCTACGCATAAGAGGAGTTTCACTGCATTTTAGTTTTTTTTCCCTACAGGATAGATTCTCAAAAGTGAAATCACTGAGTCCAAGAATGAATGTTCTCGGCTCTTAAATACTTCCTTAGTGATTAAAGATTACATTTGTCTTATTCCCCCTAATTTATTCACTCCAGTGTCAGGAATATTCTCATGTTTCTGATAGCAGATTTTCAATTTTAAAATACTTGTCTTTTTAAGAGTATAAAATAGGAGAAATTTCAACATTTTAATAAGATTGTTTTTCCTGTAAAAGGGAAGCGTAGAGCAGTTATAACTTGTTATTTCTGAATTCTAATAATCACTGGCCATTATATTAGATGCAATCCTAGTGGAATGTGGAATGTGGATTAAAATGGCTGAAATAATGCAAAATCTACCAGTTTATGGTCTTTTTTTCCTTGTGGAATTTGCATGGAGAAAGGTGAGGAGGTGGCGGGGGTTTGGGGAAACATGCAATCTAGTCTCTGTACCTTTCCTTTATTTGTGTGATTCTGTTACCTTTGAGAGCAAATATTCACTCAAAATATTCTGCTAGCTACAAACCTTTAAGCTGAAATGCAATTTATGAATTCAGTATATTTAATACGTTATGTATGTTTATTGGTGATGGAAATTTTTTTAAATTCTGTTTTCAAACCGTAGAACATATCCTGCACTAGAGACTTTAACAGAACCTCACCAGCTCACAGCTACTTTAAGTTGTGTAATTGGAGTAGCCCGCAGCTTGGTATCAGGGGGCAAATGGTTTCCTGAAGGTCCAACACACATGCTACCTCTGTTGATGAGAGCATTGCCTGGGGTGGATCCAAATGACTTTAGTAAATGCATGGTGAGCCATATATGTGATTCTGTTTGTATAAGTTATAATTGTGTAAGTGGACATCCTGTTAATTTTTCTTCACGTACTTTTTAGAACATAGTTCAATGTAAAATTTGGTAATTGTAACAGAATTATATCTGTAGATGCCCAAGTTTAGCTCTGGAGACTGTTACTTGATCTATGTAACATCTTCCTTCATAAGTAATTTGCCGTAGCCTGTATGCATGTAATGATCATATGATGTCTTAAAGCTCATTATATATTTACTATTTTCCTTAAGCAGAGAGATTAAAAATCATAGCATATGATCATTTGCACTTCCCTTCATCTGCACTGGTGAGGAGGGCAGGATAAAAGTTACTGGCTGTAAAAATGCCAGATCTCCCTTATACATACATCTTCTCCTGACTTAGAACATTGCTCATGTTCCCTTTTTCCTGGTCTCTAGCTTCTGCATTAGCATTCTCTATTTACCCTTAATTAATGTCACATTTTTAGTTGGGAGGCAAAGTAACTTCTCAGTGACAAAAGGTTGGAGAACTTTCTGCTTAAACCTAAGAAATAACTATATGAAAATAAATTTAGTATAACTTCATTACTAAAGTAAAGCCAGTTAATCGTGAGGAATCTTAAAATGTTGAATTCTAAGTGAAAAATTTCCAGAAAGATTGTCATGTTGTTTCCCTCAAGATAATTTATTTGAGTACTTTATTGTAGCTTATGGTACACTTATATTTTTGAACTGGAATTATTTAATTACTATTAAATGTTTTGCATCTTCCCACAGATCACATTCCAGTTTATAGCAACATTTTCCACTCTGGTGCCTTTAGTAGATTGTTCATCTGTACTGCAAGAAAGAAATGACCTCACAGAAGTAAGGCTGCTTTCTGGTTGTAAAAGAATTGTTTAACTGAGTTCTAATTCTTATTGTACATGCATAGTAATATTTGATAGTTTAAAAGCAACTTTGGATAGGTGCTAACAAACTAAAATTACTATTTTGTGACTAGAATGGTATAAATGGAGGGCCAGGTCATCATTGCTAAGATAGTCTACAGAGTACCCACCAACGGAGGTGTGTTGAAAATAGGCCATTTTTGTAAACAGCTGACGTCTAGAGGTGTATTTCCATTTTTTTTGTTACTTTTCAGTGTTTTGTTAAGCAAAGGTGGTGGTGGTTTATTTTCTATCTTATGCTGTTGAGGGGATCAGTATCTAATGAAGAGAAATCTTCTTCATTACTGTCTTGTTCTTTTAGAACTAGTCTTTATTGCAAGCATTTTACTAGTTGTGTCATTTGCATGTTTAAGTAGTAAGAGATCATCCTTTACATACACACCAGCAGTTTAAAAACTAATTGATAACAAAGATGGCTACTTGACTTCTCTTTTTGCCCTTACAAAATATGTTAATTACTTCTTATTTTTGGTTCCCAGAACGTATTAGATCAAGTTGTTCTAAATTGATATGCGATTATGGTGCTGTGTCTCACAGTACACGGTATAATAATGTAGCATTAGATCTGTTTTTTTGGCCATAACTGAGTTTTGTTAGTTCACAGAAAAAAAAGTTGAAGGCTATTTTAATTTTTGTCCACATTGACGTTATAGGTGGAACGAGAGCTTTGTTCAGCCACAGCTGAATTTGAAGATTTTGTCTTACAGTTTATGGACAGGTGAGCATGTACCCCAGATCTGTCCTTTATCTGACATTCAAAAAAATGACTGTCCTGTCCCAGCAACTTTAATCTCTCTCTGCGTTGCAACCTGTGTATAAGTACTAATCAAGGATGATACTTCTGAAGTTACAAAAGGAGGATTGATTTGTGAGCCATGTACAAATTCAGTAGCTATCACTTGAATAGTTATGACAATAGACTTTAATCATCATCAAAAACGTTAATCCAGTTTTTAGTTGCTAAAATTATACTTTGTTTGGACTATTTAGATGCTTTGGACTTATAGAAAGTAGCACATTGGAGCAAACGAGAGAAGAGACAGAAACTGAGAAAATGACTCACTTGGAGAGTTTGGTCGAATTAGGTCTGTCTTCTACATTTAGTACAATCCTCACTCAGTGTTCCAAAGAAATATTTATGGTAAGAGTGCATTGCTGCAAAAAATTGAATTCCAATCTTGTAGTTTTGTTTGATGTTTTAAAATTGAAGTTCAATTTACTTTGTGTACATATCATGCCGGTTTATCCTTTCTTTCCATCCTAAAATTTGAAAAAGATATACAGTTGATCCTCATTATTTGCAAATTCCATATTTTCAAATTCACCTACTTGCTAAAATTTATTTGTAACCCCAAAATCAATACTTGTAACTCTTTTGTGCGGACATATGTAAAAGTGGCTAAAAATTTGAGTGGTATATATTTCCAGCTTAGGTTGAACATGATGACGCTTTGCCTTCTTGTTTCAGCTCTCATACTATAAACGTGTCATTTTTGCATCTGTTTAGTGCCAGGTTTTTCACATTGTGCTTTTCGTTGGTGATTTTGCTGTTTAAAATGGCTCCAAGAGTAGTGCTGAAGCACTGTCTAGTGTTGTAAGCATAAGAGAGTTGTGATGTGCCTAACCGAGAAAAGAACATGTATTAAGTAAGCTTCGTTCAGGCATGCATTACAGGGCTGTTGGCTGTGAGTTCAATGTTAATGAATCAACTATATATATATATTATATAAGGTGTCTTTAAACAGAAACGTGAAACAAAATTATATATTCGGCAGTTCATCAATTGATGAAAATGTGAATGGAGGCTCGTAGGAACTTAATCCTACATTTCCCTTAGGAACAGTGGTCCAGTATTTGCTAATTCAGTGCTCACAGCAGTTTTATAGAACATTACTACAAATAACAAGAATCAACTGTATTTTTTATTTTTATTTTTTATAATTTTATTTATTTATTTTTTTCCCCCAAAGCCCCAGTAGATAGTTGTATGTCATAGTTGCACATCCTTCTAGTTGCTGTATGTGGGACGCGGCCTCAGCATGGCCAGAGAAGCGGTGTGTCGGTGCGTGCCTGGCATCCGAACCCGAGCCACCAGCAGCGAAGCACGTGAACTTAACCGCTAAGCCACGGGGCCGGCCCTCAACTGTATTTTTTAAATTTACAACTAAATATTATTTGGGAGAAGAGTTTTGGAAATTGTTTATGCCATCACATGATAGAAATTAAATTCTAAGTATAACTATCTGGCAAACTATGATGGATTAGAAATAGTTTGTCCTCATAAGGTACTCTGTAAATATTCCATATTGGTTCATACTATTTGATATTGGTTGATATCTGTGATGTGCAGTACGGTATTTAAGACCACACTTCATTTCCATTTCTGTTTCTTCTCCCTTCTTCTGAGATTATCACTGTTAATATGTTTATCCTAGTTAAAAGCTAAACTGCCTTACAACTGCATGAAATATTTACTAAGATTATGTTCGTATAAAAAAATTAGCATGAATAATCTCTTGTTTAACCGAATTCTTTTGAAAGGAGTTTATGGATTTTCAGCATTGTTAACCCACATCTAGAGCTCGTTCTTTCATTCAGCAATTAAGTTAAAATTCTGTGACATGATTGTAAAATCAAATAGACTGCTATAAGTCTTTTAGAGTAGAGGTAGATGTTTATAGTTTGTAGTCAGAATGACAAACTGTAAATATTAGATAGTCCAAAAAATTTCGTTTGTTATATTGGATTAGCCAACAAGATAATTAAATTGCTTTTGCTTCCAGCAGCTATAATTTTGTTTGTAGTGTTTCTGTAGCAAATAAAATCTTGTGCCTCAAATGTTTTGTTCACATTAGGGCCTTGTGGAGAGATTGTTTGTAGACCTGAATGTAATATTATTAAGCATAATCCTTATAAATTCAAATGGTTAAAAATTCCTACTTAGTTTGAGTATCATTTTCTTTTATATTTCATAAGAGATTTAATTTTCTTAAAAGTGCTGATTAGACATTGTCATTTCTTACATATCTTAACAGGTGGCCCTTCAGAAGGTTTTTAATTTTTCTATTTCACATATATTTGAAACAAGAGTAGCAGGCCGCATGGTGGCAGACATGTGCCGTGCTGCTGTAAAGGTGAGTTTGTTTTTTTTGGACTGATGAATTAATGAATCAATAACAAACAAGTTTACGTGGTTAATTATTTTAGACATGCTTGTTATACTTAAAATACATAGTTCTTCCGGTAGCTGCTTATAGCCCTTAGTTGCCACTGAAAATAGTGCTAGTGTATATTTTATGACTTGTTCAATATTTGTGCCTTTCAAAAAAACTTATTTGTACAAATGTGTTTTCAGTGCTGCCCAGAGGAGTCTTTGAAGCTCTTTGTTCCCCACTGCTGTGGTGTTATAACTCAGCTTACAATGAGTAAGTCATAGGTTATTATTCTGTCTTTACAGTTTTAGATAAAATCTTTTCTTGGTTTCTGTGATTCTAGTGATTCTCTTGGTTAAAGTAGATTCTTTAAGCTGTGCAATATTTTAATTTTGCAGTGTTGGGGGAAATTGCTCAAAACAATATATCATCTAGGTTGACAGGTAGCTTAGAAGTTTTACTTTATTAAATTAATATTTTCATACATACAAGAACCATCCAGAGGTTGCCTTCAAAAATATCAGTTGTTTTGTGAGATGTGGAGGAGCAGAAGTCCTGATTGGTTATGTTTATTGAAAATTGAGTTTCCACCTTCTCTGGAGCAAGTTCAGCTTTATGAATAAAAAATGATAGGGCCGGCCCCGTGGCTTAGCGGTTAAGTGCACTCGCTCCACTACTGGCGGCCCGGGTTCAGATCCTGGGCGCGCACCAATGCACTGCTTGTCCGGCCATGCTGAGGCCGCGTCCCACATACAGCAACTAGAAGGATGTGCAGCTATGACATACAACTATCTACTGGGGCTTTGAGGGAA